GTATGAGCCCACAGACCCTAAACTTAGGGCTCCGGGGTTTAGGGTTGAGGGCCTAGGGACTATAGCAAATCACTCTTGGTGGTCCGAATGGAACCCCATGAAGCCCAAAGCAAAGCCCCCTAAAGCTGCTAAAGCCCTTATCCCAGAGACTCCAAAACCCCTTAATTAAGGAATTAATATTAGGGATCCCTTATATGATTTAGGGTATATTCCTTAATTAAAGGGTTTTGGAGTCTCTGAGATCGAACCCTGAACCGAGGAATGCCTCTAGATGCGGCAATACCCAAAAGACCAAAACCCTAAACCCTAAACCCTAAACCCTAAACCTCAAGGTGCCTCATCAAGGTCATCCCAGTTCGCAGCGATGCATGCACGGCTCCACCTCGGAGGACAGGGGGCTTAAAGTGAAGTGCTGCCGGGCTTGGGAATCAATCCTGAGTTCCGATCGCTTCCCGGAATCCTTTATGAGCCGTCCAGCAGAAGTTGGATCCTTTCTTTTTGTTCACCTAGCAAGTGGGCCATCGTGGAGACCATGTCGATTCTTAGTACACGGGCAAATGCTAGTATAATCTGGCCTGCACCTCTGTCTTCCAGACACGATTGCACTTTCGGATGTGGATCTCCGAGGTCTTGTTGACATAGAAGCAACCAAGCTGAAACCTGTGTGCCAAGCGGAGATTTAGAGTTGATGTCAAGCTGATATGATCTTATTTAAAAGCCAGGGGGCAGAACAGCTATCGAAGATTGCGAATTGGACTGCTGGGGCAAGCGAACCGTGAACGACCTTGCTGCCCACATTGCAAAGACTTGCAATTGGCTTCCCTTGCAACCACCGGGAACAATGCATGCGAGTTGCATGCTCTGGTCGAGGATATCCTGGGAGGGGACCTTCATACGTCTGTCGTCCTTGGCAATGGCGTGGATGGCACGGATGTTGCGGGCCCTGTTCTCCTGGCCGAGGGGGTGGGGGTCGCGGTCGATTATCCTTAAGGCTACACATTGTTTTAATAGTAATCCTAAGCCCCCGACATATGTCATCTAGAATCTAGTCTTGGTCCTTCTGGTAATCACTCATCGACGTCACTCTATTGCATTCCTGGACAGGTGCAGATACTGCTTCGATTGTAGGATTCTTTAAACATCAGATGTTCTGGGATAAGCGATGGACAGTCCTGTTCCAGAGTGGTGGGCTGCGTGTTTTCGGCCGGTGCCTTCGCCTGCTTCTTCGCTAGTCCCTTTGCTTTGGCCTTCGCCTGCTTCTTCGGCTTGTCCTCCTCGGTGGTCTTCGCCTGCTTCTTCGGCTTGTCCTCCTCGGTGGTCTTTGCCTGCTTCTTCGGCTCGTCCTCCTCGGTGGTCTTTGCCTGCTTCTTCGGCTTGTCCTCCTTGGTGGTCTTCGCCTGCTTCTTCAGCTCGTCCTCCTTGGTGGTCTTCGCCTGCTTCTTCGGCTCGTCCTCCTTGGTGGTCTTGGCCTGCTTCTTCGGCTCGTTCTTCACCTGCTTCTTCGGCTTGTCGGCCTCGCTCTCCTCCAAAAGTGCATCGTTCGTCGCCTGCTCGTCCTCTTGATCCAAATCCTCGTCCACAGCTTCCTTGCTGCCCCTTGCGGAGCCTCGGCCCCGTCCACGGCCGCGATTGCGGCCCCGGCCACGGCCACGTGAGGAGCTGCCTTGGCCGTGCATTGCTTCGTCTGTCTGCACCTCGGACAAGCAGGCAGCATTCCTGATCTTCGCCTGCACCTGCGACAGCAGGAAAAGTAGCCGATCAAAGCCGAAGCTGCTAAGCAAAAACCCAGGGTGCAAAGCCACTGCTGGGTTTAGGATTAATTCATGTTTAAGCTTTTGGGGTTTAGGGTTAAGGGCCTAGGGGTTAGAGCTTTTGCTCCCAGGGTTTTGGTGTTTAGGATGGATAGAGTTGTGGCGAATACAGGGCTTCTGCACAAGCTTTATATTTCTCAAAGTTGCACTCAAAACCCTTCCGTTGCGTATGTACCGGGTTGGCGATATCGATTTTAAGTAGGATATTTTACAATGTTGGGTTCGGGTTTTGGGTTTCGGAACGGAGTTGTATAGGTTTACAGGGCTGTATGGTTGCATGAATACCATAGCTCATCACTCCAATTGACTAGCGACTCAATGCCAAAGGCGTAAAACATCCCGAACCCAAACCCCTTCGAAAGCTCCGGTGCACTGCGTCGCATGCCTCGAGGATGCCACCTTCATTGGCGGTCTGCTGGGAGAGCTGCTTCTGCAGCTTCTCGGCCGATTGCTTTAGCCCCTCAGAAACATAGGCTGCTGGCCTCTTCATACCTCGTCTCTCCTGCACATGAAGAGTTTTAGCAGAGCCCGAATCCCGAATGGAATGATGCCCAAACCCGCCCGTCCCAATCCTTCTGGGCATCGGCATTCTGCTCGGCGTCTTCTGCAAAGGCATCTACGGCTGCAGCTGCCTCGGAGTCGCTGTCCACGAGCGGCGGCTTGGCATGGGGCTTGCAAGGGGTCTTAGGGAAGCCACTCTGGTCTTCGGGGTTCTCGACGATTGCATCCGTCTCCAAGTCCTCTTCTTCCCCGGCTTCATGAGCTTGCCCAGCCATGTCCTCGTCGTCCAAGTAAGCAGGACGTCCTGTGACGGGGATTGGTTTCTCGGACCCAGGAGATCAGGAGGTGTAGGTTTAGTGGGTTCCGGAAAGCTCGGGCTTGTGGGTTCAAGGTTAAGGGGACCCTTATATCATAGCCCAAACTGGAGTATACTCGATGGGGTTTAGGGTTTAGGGTTGAGGGTTTAGGGTTGAAGGACCCTAAACCCTAAACCTTAAACCATAAAACCTAAACCCTAAACCCTAAACCCTAAACCCCCACCTGTGCTCTCTCCCTCGGAGAAGTCTCCCCATTCCCGGGTCGGCAGCTTGTTCGGGTCTTCCAAAGGAATCTTTCTCTCCTGTGATCAGAGTGCGAAGCGATGTAAATAGGATCGTTTGGATTCAATTTTATTCGGTGTCCTGATCTGCTTCTTCTTGCAAAGTGCTTATCAGCTTCTTCAGAAGCACCATGTTCTTGCTGCCGGTCCTTTGGGGCTAGAGTCCAACATAACGATAGCGGATCTCAAGAAAACCGAACCTGGCCTGGCTTCGCTGTTGCGACGGCTGCGGTCCATGACGTGCGACATCAGGGCTCGGTGGAGGTCGCCCTCGGTTTTCGCCCAAGCCTGCCCGAGAAACCCCGAAAACCCTAGGGTTTAGGGTTT